ACCCACATCTTAGCGTGGTATTTTTCCTTTTAAAAAAGCTAATGACTGAATGTTAGTACCTTTTTTTGCACAACACAATGTCTGCAAGGCTAGGATTTTTTCCTCACAAAATTTTCTATTGATTAAAAAAGAACTTCATACTCTTGAGTATTGTCAATGTGAAAAACAAAAGTAAAATGCACATACCCTGTGATAGGAAACTGTTCAGTCAGTAGCTGCCCTGTCCTGTTCACCTTGGGAGCAGATCTGCATCTGACTGGGGAAAATCCTTGTCTCTCTATAGCCATGATTTTCCATTTCTGCACTTTTTTTCCCTCTTTACCTAATCTCATATTCTGCTATCCACTTTTATAAGGAGTAGGATTATGTTCTTGAATCAAATGTGGTGTCCCCACATATAATCTCGTTACAATCACAGGTGAAACTTGTGCTTTTATACAACTGTCTTTTTCCAGAAACCTCACACAAAGCAGAGGCTCACGGGTCAAGCACAGAGAGTAATAATGAATGGGGTAACATCAGACTGGTGACCTATCAATGGTGGGGTTCCACAGGGCTCCATCTTGAGCCCTGTGCTCCTCAACATCTTCATAAATGACTGGGACACAGGACTGGAAGGGATACCAAGCAAGTTTGCGAATGACACAAAACTAGGAGGAGGTGTTGACTCCCTCAAAAGCAGGGAGGCTCTGCAGAGAGACGCTGACAAATTGGAGGGCTGGGCAATCACCAACCATATGGAATTCAATAAGGGAAAGTGCCGGATTCTGCACCTGGAAGGGGGTGAGCCTGGATGTACGTATAGACTGGGGAAAGACGTTGGAAAGCAGTGCCATGGAAAGGGACCTGGGGGTCCTGGTTGATGGCAAGTTGAATCTGAGTCAGCAGTGCCCTGGCAGCCAGGAAGGCCAACCGTGTCCTGGGGGGCATCAGGAAAAGCATCACCAGCCGATCAAGGTAGGGGATTGTCCCGCTCTGCTCTGCACTGGTGGGACCTCACCTTGAATATTGTGTGCAGTTTTGGGTGCTACAATATAAAAAGACATTAGGCTATTAGAGAGTGTCCAAAGGAGGGCAACAAAGATGGTGAAGGGCCTTGAGGGGAAGCCGTATGAGGAGCAGCTGAGGTCACTTGGTCTGTTCAGCCTGGAGGAGACTGAAGGGAGACCTCACTGCAGTTACAACTTCCTCATGAGGGGAAGAGGAGAGGCAGGCACTGATCTCTGCAGTGACCAGTGACAGGACCCAAGGGAATGGCCTGAAGTTGTGTCAGGGGAGGTTTAGGTTGGATATTAGGAAAAAGTTCTTTACCCAGAGGGGAGTTGGGCACTGGAACAGGCTCCCCAGGGAAGTGGTCACAGCACCAAGCCTGATAAGAGTTCAAGAAGCGTCTGGACTATACTGTCAGGCACATGGTGTGACTCTTCAGGATGGTCCTGTGCAAGTGTAAGGGTTGGACTCCATGATCCTTGTGGGTCCCTTCCAACTCAGCATCTTCCGTGATTCTGGTGATTGTCTTGACTCCCTCAAGAAGCTGCTGCTCCAGTTCTTGTTTCCAATCTTGACTACACCATTGTAGTAGCAGTTTCAAGACTTCATTAGAGAGTGTTTCTTTATTTACAGTAGAGGGTGTAACGTAAAGTGATATTAAAATGAGTTGCGATGGAGCATTAAAACGCTACCAGCATTAACGTCCTGAAACAGGGGCAAAGCAACGTGCTGGTCTAAAAACTGTATTATTCTAGTTGCACCAAGTATGAAGAAACTATGATTTCTCTGCAGTGTGAATACTGTCATCTGGCTGATGACAGCATTTGTGTGCTACAGGTGTTGTGTAGCCACAATATCACTGCCAGAATCTTCTGGCATCATTTTACTAAAGTAAAAAATAAATTAAATCAATCTTCCCCCCCCCCCCCTTTTTAAAAGTAACATCAGAAAGCTGACATAACTTTTTTTGTTTATGACATTGATAGGAGTTGAATGTATTTGCATAATTACAAAACATCAAACATTTTTTTTTAGGTCTTAACACAGAGAATGACGTCTAACAAATTTCCTGTAATTGTGATTTTGACATTTGTGAATCCATGTTGTTCCAACAAGGCTTGATATTCAGAGCCACTTCTCTCCTTTCCCTCTGTCTGCACAAGCATGTTCAAAGACTGCAGCAGAGCTCTGCTCCTGTTCTTCTTCTCATCATCCAACACCATTTCAGCCAGCAAAACTGCACAGCCTAATTTAAAAACAAACACATAGAACAGTTCTAATCTATTATCAGGTAGGAAAATTTCTGCTACCATATGCAGGGATGCAAACTACAAGACACGGGTGACTTCCTTTATCATTTATGGATTTGCTCTACTATTAAATGAATTATCCACTCCTCTCACAAACCCCCAGAAATTCCCTTTCATGGTATGGAGTAATCACACACAAGTCAAAGTTGTGTGTCCATTTTCAGGGGAAAAGCGGATGACTTCTGTAGACGCGGCACAAGGGTTATGGAAAACAGTAAGACAGGAATCAAGTTGCTTCTCTTTGGGATATACTGCTGCTTCACATTCATACTGAAATGGTGCCAAGCAGACAAAGCAGTGAACAGCAAACATCATAGAAACGGAGAAGTCAATGTGTCTGTACAATATACTGGGTATATTATTTCTGTAGGAACCGAGTTCTTTGGGGTGGGACTGATCTAAGGATGAGAACAGAACTTAAATGATCCAGTTTCCTCAGTCTTTTCCTCCATTTTCAGACCTCTGAGGGGAAAGGGAAGCCAAGAGAGGGCTACTGACAAAACAAGCATTGCTTTACTTAGGCCTTGCATCTTATGTGGTGGTTTCTTTTGGCACGGTGGGGGTAGGAGGCCACCAACTAAGATCAAAATAGCAGCAGTTTCCAGTGGTTTTATTATTAAGTGATGCATAACGTTCATATCTTTCTGACCTTTAAGACAATCTCCTCAGGGCCATTCCTACTCATACACCTCAGATACTTAACAATTGACAAGAAGGTTCAAAACTTAACCCCCTCATTCTTCATGTCTTGAAAATCTCCCTCAGTTATGTGTATCGCTTAAGAAATATTTTCAGTGTTAGACCATTAAATCCACATCTTCTACCACTCAGCAAAAGATACCAGCTTTCTCCACAGCAACTGAAAAACTCATTTTGGATATTAATAAGAGAAGATGAGCTTATAGTTCCTCAGGTGCCTGGGCTACATCAAATTAGCATAGAACATCTCAGACTGAAACACACTGCAGTCCAGTCCAATCTCTCACTCCAAGCAGGGCAGCTCTACATTCAGTTCAGCTTGTTCAGGGCTTTGCTCTCACACCCTGAAGCCTCTAGGGACAGAAATTCCACAGCCTCGCTGGGCCACCTGCTCTAATGCTTCATTATCCTGAGAGTGCACCACAGACACCATGCCCAAGGGACTAATGCCTAATGTGTATGGAGTGTTGTGCTTTAATCATGGAGTACACCGAGGTTGTGTGGTGACCAAGCACATTCTATTCAAATTGTACAGTCAGATACATGGCACTTCGGGGCACAGGTTTAAAGTCTGTGACAGTTATAGGCAGGCTAACTTTAGGATTGAAACTTTCTGACTCAAACAGCTTATAGCAGCTTAAAGAATAGCATTATGACTAAGTATGAGATGAGAAACATCTCACTGCTTGAATGAGCCTCAGTATACATTCCTGTTAAACTAATGGCAAGCTTCCTATCAACATGGAAAAGCAACACTTTAAATTTCTTCAGTTGTTAAATATTTGGCCTTATCTTTACATGTCTGAACAGATGAGATCAGTCAAATTTCCATTCAAAAAACTCCTTCTGCTAAGAATTAAAACCCCCAGTGTGGTAGAAGTCTGACATTTCCCTGATGCTGGACAGCTGAAATGCTCAGTAGTAGGCAAGTTTCTTCTGATGATTTGAATCACTGTAGCACTTTTCCTTTACTCAGTGCTCAAAGAGCAAAGTAACTTCTGATTAAGTAACATCCAGGCAGATGCAACTCTTGACCTTGCTCATCAGCTCTCTCTTGCTGAAGTTGGTGGGTCAGTATTGGCACAGCCTCTTTCAAACTGGTTTATTTGGATTATTGCTGTACAAGTGTGACAGGCAAGAATCTCACAACTGATAAAGAAGAAAACTAGTTTCAAAGTACAGCTTTAATTTCCAGAGAGGCTTCCACTATAAAGTATATGTTCAATAGAAAACACAAATATCAACGAAGTATCAGGAAAAAAAAAAAAAAACATTAGGAGAGGTGACAATAGTGACAAATTACTTGAAGAGATAGGATACAGCACATATTTCTCCAATTAATGACTGAAGCGTGAAGAAATTTAATTTTCATAAGAGGTTTTATACATAAATCCTAAAACTCATCTCAAGTAATGAGATAGAAAACATATACAGCCATTCAACCATATTCAGAAAACCTGAAAAGTATCAGTAAGCAATCGGGATAGCTCTGAACTGCAGCTTGTATGGGTACATACTGTGGCTGGAGGTCAGAGGCTACTGAAGTTCCTTTGTGATGTTATAGCTGCTGTAGGAACACAATTGAGTTTTGTCCTGATTTCACTTTTGCTTGCAGAAAAAATGCTTAAAAAGGCCGTCTTTAAGATGTTTTTGAGTAAAGTCCCACAGAACAGTGATAAAAAGGGGACTAACATCCCAATTTCAGATGGATAGCACAATATTAATTTTTTTCATTTCTGATAAAAATGAGCAATAACCACTGAATACACTGCAGAGGGAGAATTCTGTTTTAAGGTCCAAAACCCCAAGGTATTCAAGTGGCTTAATACAAACTTGAAGTTTTAACTTGACATACTATACAGATATGTCAAGTCTAAGCTTAATACAGTCCCAAAAACTCACCAAAAGAACTGGACGTTAAGGTATTTCATACACAGGAGTTTTGGCCTGCCCAGACATCTTTTAAAATGCACCAAACTCACTCCTGCAGGAGCTGCAGTCCAACTTTTTGTAATAACTCTGCTTCAGATAAAGCATCAGAATAATCCTAAACTGGTAACAGGTGTTGGTTGATGATGGGTATATTGCACAAGTGGGTGGAAATTCCAGTTTGCTTCTGGGCACACTACAGTGACAGACTCTTTTTGAAGCATAGAACAGCATCTAATAAGTTTCCTGTGATCTTAATTTGTACATCTGTGAAACTGTATTTCTCCAGTAGCTGTTTATATTCTGAGCCACTTCTCTGCTTGCCTTCAGTCATACTGAGGGACTGTAGCACAGCTCTAGGGGGGTGCGTCTTCTGTTCATCAAGCACAGTTTCTGCCACTAGCAAGGCACTTCCTGCATTTCCAAAACAACCAAAAGTGGTTCAGTGTAAGTATTTTTAGCTTCAAGATTTTAGTGTTTTGCTCAGAGACAGTTCTAGAGGTCCCTCAGGCTAATCTTTTAATGGAAATCAGTGAAAGAACTTTACTTTCAGTAACCTATTCCTGGAAGCAAGTGTGTAATTGTTAAAAAGAAGGGAGAGTTTAGAGCACTGTCTCCAGTAAAGTTCATGTCACTGCCTCTTGAACTCAGCCTTGCTTTCGTTTGAACCAAACAGTTCCCGGAAGTATCTGTCATACACAAATCATTGCATAAAAAGATTAATACAGTTACCCCCAATTTTCTTTGATTTATAATTAGGATTATACTTTATGGCCTAGATCTTATTTTGAATGTTCTCCTCTGTAACAAACTTCAGGGCTACAGCTGGATTAAGGAATCAGATGATCTTAGCAGTCAGGCTTTTCTGCTTTCTGTCTTCTCCATTAATCTTTAATACTTCCTGAATATGAGTCAGCAGTGTGCTCTGGCAGTCCAAAGGGCCAACTGTGTCCTGGGATGCATCAAGCACAGTATTGCCAATCACTACACAGGTGGTTGCCTCACTCTACTCTGCACTGGTGCAGCCTCATCTCAAATACTGTGTGCAGTTTTGGCTGCCTAAATGTACGAAGCACATACTATTAGAGGGTATCCACAGGAGAGTGATCGAGAGTGAAAGGCCTCAAGCGCAAAATTTATGAGGTGCAGCTGGTTCAGCCTGGGGGAGAAATGGCAGAAGGGTGACTTCACTATCTAAAACTTCCTCAAGGTGGGCAGTGGAGGAGGAGATGCCAATCTCCTCTCTCTGGTGACCATTGACAGGACAAGAAGAAATGGAATGAAGATGCATCAGGGGAAGCTCAGTTTGGGTGAAGAGGTTCTTCACCCAGAGCATGGCTGGGCACTGGAACAGGCTCCCCAGGAAGTGGTCATGACACCAAGCCTGACAGTTCAAGAAACATTTGGACGATGCTCTTAGTCATATGATCTAGCTTTAGTTAGTCCTGCAAGAAGCAGGGAATTAAACTTGATGATCCTTGTGGGTCCCTTCCAGCTTGAACTATTCTGTGATTCTATGATTCAAATGTAGGAGAAAGTCAAAGAGGCTACATACTTCTCATGGTATGTGTGTGTAAAGCAGCACTAAACTCCAGCCAGTTGACCACATTCTGTGCACTACTGAGACAGCAAAACCACTGCTTCTTGATTAACCTAAAGGAACTTAAGTTAGAGCATTTTCATGTCTAGAAATAAGCACACGCTTAGTTGTTTGATACAGGGCTTAGTAAGAAAGACTGGGCCTCTCAGAGACTGGGGAGATGATGCAGTTGTATGTGAAGCCTGCAACTATAGTAAAAGCTTATTTATATAGTTTTACTTGCAGTTTTGTTTCCTTCTTTTGCTTAGTATGTATTACCATAACGCAAGCCTAGACATTCAAGCAAAGGCTACTATGACTGAATAGAGAAGTATGGTTCTTTTAATATGAACTTATAATTACTCATTTAAGGGATATTAACATCCACCTTTAATTCCACAAGATGAGAAAACCCCCAAAACTTACCTGGTCTGCAAAGAGCTGATATCTTGCTTAACAGCACATGTATCTTTTCATCAGGCCAGTCATGAAGAACACGTGAAAGGATATAAAGATCTGCTTCTGGAAGATTATCCTTGAAGAAGTCACCTGTTGGAAAGCAAAATTAGTACATTCCTACAGAAAGTAGAATTCATTCCTACAAAATGAAATTAAAATATTGCAGAGGAACTAGGAGCTTCAGCAGAGGTAAAGAAAGTAACAAGAATGAACAGGTACAGGTATGCTCTGATTTGCAGATAAGGAAAGTCTAGTTAAAGAGAAGATCAGGTCACAGGTAAGAATTCTGTAACACAAGAATGGAGGCAAGCCTAAAGCAAGGAAGGAGACAAAGTTCTTTGCAGCCACCATGTTGATCTTGCCTAGAAATGAAATGCCTGAGGACATGCAACCTCTGCTCCCAGTGCTAATCAAAAAATGACTAATTCGTACTTATTTACCCACATTCTGCAATCACAGCAGGTTTGTTTTTATCCTCACAGAACTTCAAAAAAACGATGTCCCCTTTTAGGGTGAGTGAGTCTGCAGTGCCTTGTACTAAGACACGTTTGTGGTTGGAGCAGCATCAAAAGAGCCTGTTCTGGGCCTCAGGATAACAGAAATCATTCAAAAGATCATGCGCTACATTTACCTGATACAAATGTCACTGGAGCTGTGTCTTGTCCTGACGGCTGAAAGTAAGAAGTGTTTGCAATGACTTCTGGAAGGTCAAATACTGTGACCTTGAGATTTGGGTATATTTGTACTAATTCACGAGCCAGAGCTCCAGTGCAACCTGTTAAAAAGTTTAAAAAAGTCAAATCAAGTATTTTCTCTCAGCATTTCCAGGCATTTTTAAGGACAAGACTGTATATAAAATAGAGACATCAAATCAGAACTAGAGATAGACAGTCAGCTCCACAATTAAACTTGGGCAATAGGACTTCCTGGTGGTTAGAACAATGTTTTAAAGCTTGGGGAATGCAGGTATGACTCCTTATTGATATAGAATTCCTAATATGACCTTTGATACTAGTACCTCAGAGGTTTTTTGGGGAGCAAAAATGAAAAGGCGAGGGCTTCTGATTTGTTGATGAAGAGCACTAGAACTGTTTAGTATTTACAAAGCACCAATATAAGAAATTTGACAAACACTCTCTGGTGTAGCAAAGGATAACAATCATGAAGTGTTGGAGTATCTGCAAAAGTGGCAAAGGTTGCACCAGTAATTGTGTTAATTCCTCTGACATGCTGTCCACCTCCCCAGGCATGAAATAAAGTGTTCTTCCTTCAGTGGATCTTTTTCTGTGTTGAGCCATGTCAGTATGTAACTGATTGAGACAAGCATTCACTTATTTCAGACTACTCAAATACCGTTTAGGTAACTCTGCTTTCAATGAGCTGCACTTGGTTCTTTCATTCTGACATTACAATAGTAGGAAAATAACAGTAGTTAATATTACTGCAGTTCTAGTAAAAAAAAACTATAGTTATGTTTTAAGTAATAAAATGCAGAACTGAAATCAAGCTTTTCCTTTTAATTTGTATATGAGTTCAATTACAAGCAATACCTCCTAAATCACAAGCAGATTTAAACCGTGAAAGATCAAATGCTGTAGCCACGTCTCTTGCTGTCAGGTGAGCAATGCTGTGCATGGCAGCCATAAAACGTTGCTTTCCCTCCTGGCTGTGATAATAGTCCTAAAAAGGGAAAAAAACCTGAAATTGATTTTCACTGTTTATCTAAAACTATGTACAACTAAGACAGTAGGTGCACACTGTGAACATTAGAATTCTGAAAATAAAGATCAGTTAAAAGTGCCTCTGAACAGTTGCTCATGAAAGTCCTTTGTTATTTTACTGTAGTGAAAAGCAGATTTTTGCATCCCCTCAAGAATTCTGATCACAGACATCTTTTGCAGTGTGTCTCACCAGACAAACTTGTCTGGTTTGAATCAGGTCTTGGTGAACTCCCAAAGGCTGTTAAATTCAACACTTCTGCCCATGGGTGTGGGGGCATCATAGCAGGAAAAAGAGGTAATCTGAAAAGGGCCTTTTAAAGAAGTAGTGTGTCTTTCACATACATTTACTAACACATTTGTTCCTCAGCAAGATGTGTCCAGACTTTAAACTGTTTGAAAGGGCAGACTTAGGAGACTGAAAGACAACCTCAAATGTTCCTTCTTCTTGACATACTCACAAACTGCTTTCATTTAATTCTGACATTTATTCTCCCATGATAGAAAAATAACCAGATAATTGGACTATAATGCAAATCAGAAATATTATAGATCATACAATTTTTTTTGTTTGGTTTCTTTGTTTTGTTTTTGGTGGGGGTTTTTTGGGTGGTGTTTTGTGTGTGTGTGTGTTTTGTTGTTTGTTTGGTTTTTTGTTTTGTTTTGTTTTGTTTTTTTTTTAATTAGGGAAGAAGCAAGCATTCAGTACCAAAGTCTCGTTGCATGATGCATATGCATGAATCCCTTTATGTCTCACTTTCATACAGATTTCACCACTTAGAGCTGGTTTTGTGGCTACAATGAAATACAAGAATCTCCAGGCTGAGGCAGCTCATGTGTTTCTGCTCAGACATGCTATCCTGTACACACAGGGAGCCCAGGTCCAGGCTGGTCACAAGTATCACGCAAGTGAGGGCAAGTTGGCAATCCAGGTGTGTAACAAAGGATGAGATCCAGTTCACATTCATTAAGCCACTTAATTAGTATATAAATTTAGGCATCCACTGCAGCAGCTATTCTAACGCAAAGTATATTAACTCCCGGTCGGGGCCCCTCCCCGGGCAGATGGAGCTCGTTAGCCCTGTAAGGCAATCCATCTACGTCCTGAGGACCTCACTGCCACTGTCCAAGCATGCTTGGCCCCGGCAGATGAACCTCAGGATTAAAGGGTGGCTCAGTTCCGCGCACACTGTGTCTCACCTAAAAAATCCAATGTGCAGGCTGGAAGGTGTAAAGACCTTCCCCGGTTCTTCGTTCGCGAAGACTGGCCATTACTTACTATATTAACTCCCTTTAAAGGACCTTTTGAATGATTCCTAGAGGACTTTCTGTCCACCAGTAATCTAAATACTAACATTAGGTTAACAAGACCTTCCTAAGTCTCCAAAAGCTCTTACTTACTTCTACCAATTGTACATGAGGGATGTAGACATCTTTAGGAGAGTGGTTTCATCACCATCTAGAAGTTAAATATAAATTCAAAGAACCTCAGGATGTACTCTGAAGTACACAATTTAAGCCAGGACTGCTGTCAGAGATGAACTCCTGATATTCGCTTGCTCACACTACCAGCTCTCTCCTTAAACAGGCACAAATATTTATGCCTCTCCACCTGCTTCACCAGATGGGTAACTGACAAGTTAGGCTAATTATACCCTAAGTGATTCTCCAGTCTGAACACATCCACCTGGGCTAGTATTGGAAAAGGAATACAAGAGAGATGGAAACAGTTGGTGGAAAGGATTACAATTTTATCAGCAACATATAGCAGCTTGAAGCATATACAAAACTACAAATCACCATAAAGGAGATTAGATCCCTTCTCCACTGAATGGACAGAAAACAGCTTTGACTACAAAGTCAGAACAGCCTAAATGGGATACACATCAGTGTCAACTGACTGGCATCCAATACGGTAGGAGTGCATGTGTGACAAAGTACTAATTGCTTTTATAAAAGGGACACAAATATAAATTAAACAGGACTAGAGGTTGTTCTGTGAGTGTGTCTGTGGGATGGGCAACACTCCAGACAGAATTTCTGTCAGCGCTTGAATTTCCCAATATGTGCTATAACTGCTCTACCACTTCATAGCCTAAAGTTGAAGGAACAGAAGCCTGGGACTCATGAGTTGCACTGTGTTTCTACCATTTCTAAGACTGACAAACTTCCTTAGACAATGCAGTCTCCATTTGCCCCTAGATCAGTTCTGGGCTCCTCACAGCTGGCTTTGATACTAATGAGAGTTTTTATTACCTTAAATAAATCCTCTGCTTTCTTTCCAAAGGCTCGATGATTCTGCCTGCTGCCTTCTTTGACAGCAGACTCCAAGTTTGTAAAGAGAGGCCAAAGATGATCATTAGAGTGAATAATGTAGCCATGAAGCGAGTATTCACCATCTGAGGTCAGGAAGGTATTTGCTGAGTCTGTATTACTGTAACCTTAGGGGAAGAAAACAATTGTAACCAGCTTTGTTTCAGTACTTTAGGACTGTCACTTAAAATCTGAAGGCACGTTTTCCTGCATAGCTGTTAAATAGCTAGCAAATCCTGATCTTATGACCTATTTATAGAAATTTTGCACAAAAGTGTCATTCTGAAAGGAGCAAGTACTTAGTTCCTAAAAATAATTTAGATGCTGGAAAATATAGATACACACTAAATTATTATTTTTATTTTAAATCTGAGTACCTCAGATACCTAATATTCAAGGGAGAGAAGTTCATCGTGTCTGATTGCATTTTTGTTTAGATTATGGCTTCTTCCCTAAATTCAAGCTTTCTCCAGTATGTTTTGCCTTTGTCTTGACCCCTAACAGAGTTAAAAAGACTCCTTTGTTTCCCTTTCTTGGCACTCAACCATTTCAAATCTTACTATGTAAATGACATATATGGAAACTTAGAACTACATAGTGTGGACTGAAAAAGTTACTCCTAATACTGACTCCCTCACCTACACAAACTTTCAAGGACTGTTACAGTTAGGGGAACTAAAATTTAGGTTGTTGTTCATGAAGGGACACATTCCAGAGCTCTCACTGAAATCCTGATTCTCTGCTGAAGGCTGACTGCACTGCTGCGGCAGGAAACGGAATTTGACCATTACTTCAGAGAGAAACATAAAAGTCTCTTCCGCCAAAGTGCTTCTAAGATTATCAAGTCCAACCTTTAACCCAGCACTGTCAAATCCACCACTAAACTGTGTCCCCAAGTGCCACATCTACATGCCTTTAAATATCACCAGGGGTGGTGACTCAACCACTTCCCTGGGCAGCCTGTTCCAATCCTTGACAACTCTTTCAGAGAATAAATTTTTCCTAATATTCAATCTAAATCTCTTCCAGCACAATATGAGGCCATTTTCTCTTATCCTGTTATTACTTGTGAGAAAAGATCAACTCTGACCTCACTACAATCTCCTTTCAGGTGCTTGTAGAGAGTGACAAAGCCTCCTCTAAGCCTCCTTTTCTCCAGGCTAAACAACTCCACACACTCCAGCACCTCAATGTCCTTCTTGTCTAACGGGCTCAAAAGTGAATGCAGGATTTGTAATGTAGCCTCACCAGGGCTGATTCATAGGGATGATACCGGCCCTGGTCCTGCTGGCCACACTATTTCTGATACAAGCCAGGACACCACTGGCCTTCTTGGCCACCTGGGCACACTGCTGGCTCATATCCATCTGCTGTTGACCAGCACCCCCAGGTCTTTTTCCACTGGGCAGCTTTCCAGTCACTCTTCCCCCAGCCTGCAGGGGGTTGTTGTGACCCAAGTGCAGATGACACATCTGAGCTATTACACTGTTCCCTGGGACTCTCCATATAATCTTTCCTATGTCCAGAGAACAAATACAATCTAAGGTTTCCACAAAGGACACCAGAATGTGTTTGTTGCATAAAGCCTGCCCCAACATGGACCAATTCCAGCTACTAATAATGAAAGCAAAGGAGCAACATCCATTCCCCTTTTCCCCAAATCCAAATTACCCACAGTATCAAGTTAGACCTGTAACCTTCAGAGCATCTCTTCTGGTCCTATAGTCTTTCACTGATATGTAGTTGCAGGGAGGATAAATTAGTCACCTTGTGGTGTCTTCTCCAGTAATCCAAGAGCAGCACATGCATCAAGGAGTCTTTCTGTTCCACACACAGAGGTTCCAATCTCATTTGCAATATCCACAGCTTTCACTGGACCTTTATGTTTCAGATGATCAAACATCTTCAGCTTAGAGGCTACAAACAGAGCCTACATGTAGGTAAAAATTGTTATAGCGTGTTGAGTTTAAAAGACCGCAACCAAGAAACAAAAGAATCTGCCTACAATTATTCTATGCAACTACTGTTCCTAAAGTGCAACATAGCTTAACAAACTCCTAAAAATTGCTTCTTTCTCTCTCAGGGGGTTTCAGTATCTTAGCTGATAATAGATTTTTTAGAAGAAGTGTTTAGGAGAGAGGGGAACTCAAAATATTCTGGGATGCAACCTAAAGATTCTGCATGAAGATCACTTCTTTATTCGGATATCTAGCATATCCCCATCTATCAGACTGTTCCATAAGGTCAAACACTCTTAAGCATATGAATCAATACCCAAAGATCAAATTAAATTTGATTTACCCAAAACATATAGAACTGAAACTCTTCACTGGAACAGTGTAACAAATTCAGTTGCTATAATATAGGTCCTTGTTTTATTAAAATTAAGGAAAAAAACCCCAACTTCACAGCACAGCTGCACAACATCACAACTTAATAGGATACAATACATATGGAATGGGGACGAGAGGACAGATAGTGCCTGATGGTGAAGAAAAGTCCATGGGCAATAGCAGTGTAAGTTGAAAACCTTAGCTGAACTTGTAAAGATATGCTAACCAAACCAGAGAGGAAAGTTAATGAGATGTAATAATATATAACTCTTTGTTTGAAATTTGCAATTTTGCAGTTTCAGGATTCTGAAGTAGTTAAAACACCTAAACCCATGGAATTTTTGTAGTGCTCAATAGTGAAGGCACACAGCAATTGCAGAGTGCATTTCTTTGCAACTACAAGCAACTATAATGTACTTAAAAATTAATGGTAATGAAGGAAATGGATTGACCTTCTGCTTAATAAAAATTGAATGGAGAAAACTATTAACTTCCCTCTGTTACCCCTCAAATTTGTTATATCTTTATAACAAATTTAGTTCAAGTTATAGTTTCAAGTTGGAGTTATAGTTTAGTTTGAATATAGTTTCAAGTCTGCATTTCAATGCCACTTTAGCACTTTTTTTTTCACCTTTTCCTAAAACACAGGTGACTTGATGGAGATCAGTGATCTATTAGAATGATCATTTTTCATTTCTTCTTCCCCTTCTTCACTATTGTCTTCACTACACTGAAACTGTGAGTAGAAAACCTGGGGTACTTAAAATGTCCAGCTACACACTTCTCATCATACTTGGCTGCTACATAAAGCATGTGACTTTGTTCTTGAGCTCTTACGAGCATGCCACCATCAGATACAGCATGGATACTATCAGTTAAACACATCTGGAACGTGAAATAGGTTGTTAAAAAATCATATTCTTAAGAGGCAATAAAAAAATTAAGATCTTCCACAGAATTCTAATGCCAAGCATTACAAGTCAGAAAGGAAATATAATATATACAATTCTTATCACAGTTTTAAGTCAGTTAAGTTAGGCGTATTAAATGCTTTCTTTGCAGAGTGTATAAATTCCAGCTTCGTTGTGCTCTTCTGATCAGTTAAAAAAAAAAAAAAACAACAACAAACAAACCCCCACAAAACTTCTTTTCCCTCTCAGCTCAAGAGAGAAAATTATCAAATGGGTAACTGAAATTTCATACAACAGACAGAACAGATAAAAGTAAATACAAAAACCCCACACAACAACATTTCAACTATCTTAGACTCTCTAGAACTTCAGTGGTCCTTTTTTTCTAATTATTAATGCATTCTTACCCCGGCTCAAGTATTTCATATTACCTGATACATATTGAAGCCCAATGAAACAAATATCAGACAGCAATGTAATGAGTAGTCTTATTTTTTCCCTTACCTTTGAAGCCCTGAAACCATCCATCAGCTCTAGAATTTTAGATGGAACTTTTGGTGCTTTTTGTGGCACGCCATTCTGATTTTCCAAAGGTACTGTAAAACCAGTTCTGACACCAGAACTGTTTTCAGAAGTGTAAACAGCTCCTGAGGAATGCATCCCACTGCTGTCCAACTTACTGGCACCTTTGTGCTCAGTAAAATTTGAAGATTCACTTTCTCCATCACTTAGGTTCTCAAAAGTGTCCACAGAAGGGACAGAGTCATACTTTTTATGTTGTACATTATGCTTAGAGGGCGGATAGTACAATTCTGCTAGCTTTTTGCAGAAGTGATTCAGAGGAAATCCCACCACATTCAAGAAGTCTCCATGGACATACTCAACTAACATTCCACCAAGGGCCTGGATACCGTATCCACCTGCCTTGTCCCTGGGGGAGAGAAAGCAAAACCAAACATATACCTAATTAGGGTTAAGAGCAAAGGTAACACAGAACACAAAAAATCCACCACCACTGCAGAAGTTGGAATAAAGATTATGTAGTAAATAATTACATTACATATAACACTGTACTCAAGTTAGAGGCAGATTAAATCTACTAGCTAGGTTCAACACTTAAATTTATAAATCACAAGATAAATACAAGGACTGGTATTTCTGCTAAGGGAGAATAGCCAAAGGTCTTCATGCTTCAGACAGCCCAAATGCCACAGTCACCTAAGCGGGAGGTAACACCAGCTGACTGCAGTCAGATTGTATTGCCACAGGTTACCCAGAACTCCCCAAGGCCTGGCTACCAAAAAGGTAGAGTCACTGAGACCAACACTGCCACTGAGTCACTCAGATGCATGCTGACCCTCACCCTACTCCACAAGGCTGAAAAGCCTTTAGGAATATGTTAGGTCCCAAAGGAGTTCACAACGAAGATGGCATCTTAGAACTAAAATGACTGTAGAACGCATCTTACAGTTCTCAAATGAGAGATCGGGAAGACAGGACTTTGTTTGAACAGATTGCTCCTTCACAACAAAATGCACTACATCCCATTCAGCCCTATCCAACTCCTGCACAACCACCCAAGATACAAGTGAAATTGTGGTTCACAACACTATGCTCTTAGATATCATGGTGTAATTATGCAAATTCCACAGCGTGGAATGGAAATACATACAGGCAGATAAGCTGCAATAGACCCAACAACGTTACTATTTGCAAAGAAGGAAGAAGGCAATTAAAAATATGTTTCCTACGTAACAGCAGAATCTGAAAGCTTACATCAGCAAGCTTTGAAACCAAAGGTCAGTCACTCTCGGGTCTATTAACTTAAGGTAGCATGTAATTACACAAACTGCTTGTGAAAGGAGGTTACTACACAAATTTTTCATCTTAGATGTGATCAGAAACAGCTCTTTACATTTTTAGAACTTATTTCCAGATTCCCTTTCTAATAGTCTCCTAAAAGAAACAGGAATCTGTATCCCAGCCAGTGGGATTTTTGAATTGCTATAAATTGGGGAACAGGGATTTTCCTTCTATCTTGCATTTTAAGCAGTATAGCTTTGTCACTGTTTAAATTATTCTTTTATAACACTTACACCAACTAAATTAGGAATGTTATAATGACTAAAATGTCTTTTAATTTTTAAATGAACTTACAGACTGGTAGTCATTTTGGTATATGCTCACAGGGAGGCAAAAAACATTGTGACCACCAAAAGCAGTGGTATCATGTCCCAGCAAGACCATTAACACAATTGACCACATATTATTTATTATTCTACAGAACTTTATATTCTGGCCCCTGGTGAGTGCCCCTGGTGGTGCAGTGGCTAAACCGCAGCGCTGTCAACGCTGAGATCGGGGTTCGATTCCCGGTTAGGACACTCCCCGGGCAGATGGAGCTCGTTAGCCCTGTAAGGCAATCCATCTACGTCCTGAGGACCTCGCTGCCACTGTCCAAGCTCGCTTGGCCCCAGCAGATGAACCTCAGGATTAAAGGGTGGGCTCAGTTCCGCGCACACTGTGTCTCACCTAAAAAATCCAATGTGCAGGCTGGAAGGCGGAAAGACCTTCCCTGGTTCTTCGTTCGTGAAGACTGGCCATTACCTTATTTTCTGGCATTGGATCCTGAGTAGGACACTTGCATTCTACATTTTATTACTTCAAAGTTAAGTCTGAAACTGTAGAGCTCCACCCTCTGTATCACCTCTTTCCCAGAGTGCAGTTCTTTGGTTTCACTGCCATCAGTAGAAGAGCTACCAAAAAACACACAGGATCCTCCCACTGAAAATTGTGAGGAGAGAAAGCTGTTCACAGGGAAAGATTACAAAATAAAAAGCTGGGTCAAAGAGGCTGGCAGAAACTAAATCTACTCATTACACAAGCTTAAAACAGTTAGGATTACTATGGTCCAGCCATAGAGAGCCAGGAAAGACGAAAGACTCAAGAGGACACTACATTTAGCAGTTCCTTCAGAGTCAGAAGAAAATGCTTCCTATTCTCTTGATTTTATAAACTAAGATCAATTATCTTCTGCCTCAGATAGTAATGAAATACATTCTCTGAACCTTTGGTCCTTGAGAAACCCTTGCTGTCACACACCCTTTTTAGCAGAATTAACAGAATGATCCAGTGCTGCTTACGAGCCATTTCGTTGCAGCAAAGCACTGCTAAACTATATTTTCTTCCAGAGGAATTAGTCAGAATATTCCAAAATAACCTTCAACCTGACATTCTTTCTAAAAATCCATAGTAATTTCTGTTTCAAATTACTACTTTATGATGTGCTGCATGCTGAAGATCTCCTTTCAAAAACCTACCCAGGAATTTCTGTTACAAGCTGTAGTCTTGCCAAAACATTCTTCTCTGCCTAATCCAATTTAGCATCTATTCAATAAGCTGAGACCCCTCCATGCTCAGAAAGTATGCTCATTTACAAATAAGCACTAAAATAAAGCCAAAGTCTACACTGGTTTCTCTTTCCCCTGTAAAACATGACTGTATTGTTTTATAGCACAAATGAGTTTAAAAACCACTACAGTTTATATCCTTACAAGGTTAGAATTGAAATTATAGACACTAAAGGTCATCTCAGATCACCTGATATGCAGCCCATAATGCTAATTACACCTTCACTGGGCTTCAGTTAACACAAAGAAAAGGCAAATTCCTTAAAGTCACAAACATTCCTTTGTTGTCTCCCAGTAAGTACTTTTCTCTCTCTTTTTTTAATTTTTTTTTTTTTTTTAGCAATCTAGTCAACTTGATCTTCAGACCAGTAGTTAGGCATTCTGTTCTCATCCTTCTGTGGAATCACTGTTGTCTAGTATATTGTCTTTGTATAAGTTGTATACATATATAAGTAACTAGTATATTACAAGGGCAGCAGCAACACAAGCTAAAGGACAATTATGGCTTAGGAACAAACATAAATTGTGTTGTCTCAGGTACTGAAGATCCCTGAATGCCTCTGCTAACAGAGAAGAAATTGTATATTGCATGAGTGCTTGCTCTAATCCAGAGTATTCCCAGCCTTCACTTCTCAAATTCATTAAGGTTTGAAAGTTCTCATTTTCCCTGGAGAAGTGACAGCCCTAGAGAAGAACAAGAGAACACTCACCTTCCATCACCCATGCTATCATTTATTGTACACATACAGCAATTTTTCACAGGTCAAAACACTTTATGTTGGTGGCTTAATAACATACCCTAAGACCTATTCTCAAATGTCTTGTGACAGCATCAGGGTCTTACTTACATTGGCTCCCCGCTATGAATGTACTCCCATAGGAGCTCTTCAGACAGCTCAGAAAATTTTACTTTAGTCTCTTCATAGAAATCAGTGATTTCCATCTCTAGCTTATTGTCTACAGAAAAGAAAAGAAACAGGAATTGAAATTTAGAGAGCATAATATCCAAGTTTTATTTGGTAATCATTTGACAATTTTGCTTGGGGAAAAAATTAAAGATACTACACAAATGTATCACATGACTAATAACATTCTTGAGGGACAGTGGACTCATAACTTCCCCAAAACAGTAAAAGCTTGCATTTCCAAGCTCTGCAGTCCTGTCTTGGGGCTAACAGATTGCTTTCCCTGTACGGGATGTGTTCTTTAATAACGCTTATACAGAGCAATTTATGGACTGCTGGCACACATATCTGGCACTGGGCACAAAGAAGGCTACGACTACCCTTCCAACTTTATGACTGTTGTCAAAGAACTCTTAACAACATATCATAGTTCAATATGTAGCTGTCATAAAAGTGGGAATGTGCAGCTGCACCTGCACTGCGGACTCAAGCATCCAGCAATCCCATCAACAACCACCGTTGACATTTTCTTATCATCTCTCAAGAAATGACAAGATTATTTCAGACCTCTGTATCTAGAAGTGGTTAAAGGAAGGTGCAGTGAAGTACTGCACACGTGGGTATGGACCCTGCTGCACCTGGTACACTGAATCTGGTGTCGTTCCAAGAGAAGGCTTTTCCAAAATGCATTCAAAAGGAAAGAGCCTTGCACAAATGAGTGTTATTAGCTCTGCTCTTCTCTAAAAACACCCAAGTGATAAAGCTACGGTGATAAAGGCTAGTTACTGTTACCACTGTCTTCACAGGGTTGGAAATTCTTGAGGAGTATGAAAGATCAGAACAAGGGGAGAATACTAACCAAGTTCTAATGGTGTTAGTGTGGAAAAAAAACCCAAACATTTATGAAATAAGAAAAAACAGATGAAATAAGAAAATTGTTGCATGTGAAGAGAGATTACTACATCTTTCAGTATTGATGAAAAACTCCAATCAGCTCAAGATAAAAACTTCATCTGTAATATATACGTGGTACTTAACAAAAGCATTTTAACTATAAACTAAAACTAAAAATGTATTCTAGAAAATCCTTCCACTGATTGCATCACTTGGAGAATATGCAGATTTACAGTACTTTTATTCATCTGAATACGACGAGGCTTAAATTTGCAAACATCCAACGAGATGTGCTGTTATACCATCAGTACTACAGTTGTGTGTACTTTAACTTTCTTCCTACAATAAACAATTAAAGGTAATATTATTGTTGCTGGATTGTTCCCAGGAACCCCTTGATAATGTATTTTATTTCTTTTGCAGCAGCTCTCTTTCTACTGTACTAGCATATTAGTAAGGGTACTGGATAACTGGTTTTATTTGTATTTTATAAGAGTTAAGAGCAATCACTCCAGAAAATAGTAAAAACTGTAAATAATTTATCTACAGAAAGACTATGTTGAGTGAAATGTCGGAAAAATGATCCCTGAAAAAGCTCTACAAAAGGAATATTGGCATAATTACTAGACAATGCTTCCCAAACACTCCTCAAATTATATTAGTGGTACAGTTCACATAAAAAACACTTGCTTATTCTATAAATTTTCTGATAAAGAACACTGATGTACTGCTCCCTACAGTTCCTTAACAGTCTGAGTCATTAAACCAGTACTCTACTCATGCCCTTAAAATGGCTCTGAAGTTTCCCTTATTTACTGAAAACTGAAGTAACTATAGATACAGCAACCACTTGTATTCAAATTCAGCCAGTATAAAGAGAACATGGGAATTGAATTAATATGGATCAGCTTCTGCTCAGTCCCACACTTGGTAGTGTCTTACTTGAATTTCATTTAGAATATTCCTACAATTTACACTGGTCTTTCAATTAGTCTCATACCTTTCAGAGACAGTATTTCTAAAGTCCACAGAATTTTGTAATCCTCCTTCCTGTGTGAAAGCAAGAAGATTGGCTTTTGTGTGGAGGTTTTAATTTATATTTTGATAAGGTAATTCTTGAGCAGAAAATCAATTCAGATTGTATATGGAACATTTTCATCCTTTTTTTTTTTCCACTTGTACAAGTCATTTAGAGAATAACTTCTAATGCAAATACTGAGTTTTAACAAACTGAGCAGACATACCTTTACTGCAGCAATGTATAATAGCCACTCCTGTGAAGACACTGTGCTCTTTCCCATTCAACCTGTCAGGGAGAAGATGTGCATTAAGCAACAGCCTTATGAAATGTTCTACGTGATTATATTGCTACAGCCTGAAAAACAGACCACTATATTAATATACCACTCAATGGGTCTGATATGCATCCTAAGCAAAGACATTTTATTTTAATCATTTCAATATAGGTGAAAAGACATTAGCAAAACAAAACAAACCAACCAAAAAAAGAGAAAAAACAACCCAACAAACCACTATTAAAAGCTTCAGTTATTTCAAATCTCTAAAATATCACCTGTACTGTACTGGAAAAGTAGTCCATGATATCAGTTTATTCACTGTGCATCAGGAAAGTGACTATATCAAATCCATTAGAAAGGAGCAGTTGGCACAAATACTACTTTTACAACCATCTTCACTGAAAGCTGGCAGTAAATACCCAGATGATGCAACTTAGACTAAGCAAGTGATAGGGAACTAGAGCATATGTTCTCATTTCATCCAGACTTGCCCCCAGAGATCCCATGGCAAGCCAGAGAGGAAAGGAAGAGAAACCAAATTTCCTCACCCCTCACTCCCTGTTGTAGTGGCTCTGGAGTGCCACACTGTGGCTGATTAGTTTTGAGGACTTCATTAATCTACTGTGTCAGCAATAGAAGTATAATAAATAGCAAGAGAACGTGAATTTTTCAAGAGACTGTTTAGGGAATAGCCTCAATGATTAGCTGGGATATTTTTGGATGTAATCAGAAGCACCTCACACTCTCTCTGTCCCCCAAAGATTCCACACTGAATAGTAAGATGTGTGTGCAAATTTTCATCTGACACCTTGGATATATGCAAAGATGTATCATCTTATCTGCATTTTTCCTGGAGTTCTAAAAAGCTAAATATTACATGCATTTTATATCGGTTGACCTAAATTTCCAAAAAAAAAAAAACCCAAACCAACAAAACCCAAAAGATTTGCTTACGGTAGAAGTAGATTAGGCTCTGGAGGAAAAAACAAAAACAAAACAAAACAAAACACCAAACAAACACCCCCCCCAAAAAAAAAAAAAAAAAAAAAAAACAAGCAAAAAAAAACCAAACAAAAAATTTTTGAACTACCTAGACATGGCATAATTTCAAGCAAAAACAGTTGTGAAAAATCTCTTGCCAGACAAGACTCCTTTGTCAATCTCCTACTAATGACACAGGCTCCTAGCCCTTCCCTGTTTTAAAAAACTACTTTTAAGTTTGTAACCTGCAACAAAGGATCAACTATTCAACAATGAAAAAACATTTTTAAAAAAAATCTATATACACTTACACAACAAAACTCAAAAAACCAGCAAGCCGCTTATATTCACTTTTTAGATGTCTGAGTTATAATGTAAACTGATTAAACAAGCAGTGCACCTTTTCTTCCTCTACTCACCAGTAAAACAGAAGCACGATGTGAGGATTCCTCACATCTCATCCTTCGGAAAGGAGGTGACTAGAGCTACTTAGTTAGTGTTTCTTTTTCTTTTAAAAAAAAGGTGCTATAATACGACATTAAACTTGTAGTAGGAAAAGTGCAGAAACATCAAAAAAACCCCACCAGCCTACCAACTATGGAGAACACTGATGGAAGTAGATTTTTCCTCCTCAGTTAAACTACACAGTTTAAAGCAAGTGTCCCTGAACTCACATGATCCTGTACCTTCTCATAACTGCAATACTAATTGCAGCTTTCTAGTACCCGAAGGGAGACTATAAGAAAGATAGAGAGGGACTTTTTACTAGAGCCTGCAGTGACAGGACAAGAGGGAGTAGATTCAAACTAAAAGAGAGTAGGTGTAGATTAGATATTAGGAGGAAGTTCTATGCTATGAGGGTGGTGAGGAACTGGAACAGGTTGCCCAGGGACACTGTGGCTGCCCCCTATCTGGAAGTGTTCAAAGCCAGGCTGGATGGAACTCTGAGCAACCTGGTCTGGTGAAAGGTGTCCCTGCCCATGTCAGGGGGGTTGGAACTAGATGATCTTTAAGGTCCCTTCCAACCCAAGATATGATATGATTATTCCATTAAATCTCAAGCCTCAAACCACTGCTATGATGGTTCTGTCCTCCTTCCCACTGTGATTTTTCTCCCAGTCTCCCCATCCTGTACCAGCTGAAGCACACATAGTCTTGTGGTAAGTGATTCTGAAAATCAATCCAAGTGAAAACAAAACAGTTCATTATGTCTCTGATCAGCTTCCTAAGGTGAAGGGGCAAGAGCAAGCAGCCACAGGTAACATAAAAGCAGGTCTAACTTTTTCAGTGGAAGAACTGGTTTACTCTGTTTAAAAATCACTGAAAAATCTGGTCCATGGAGATTCTCATATACATCAAGGAATCAGTACAGTTCCTTTGAAAACAGTTTAATATACACATTTGGAATCTTAGTTAAAACTACAGACCTTGACAGCATCCTATAGGCATCTTGCTTATCAACAGGTTTCTCCAGGATCTGCTCATCCACAGACTAAAACAGAAAGACAGTGAG